GCAGCTAACAGCTATCCTTAACCCCAATCCGACGCCCTCTTCTGACCTCCATGGGCATTGCACATCACAGGTGCACCTACCTACATGCAGGCAATACACTCATACACATAAAAAAATTAAAAATAATAAATAAAATTTTTGTATGTTTTTGAGACATGATCTCCCTGTAGCCCCAGCTGGCCTGGATCTCACTATGTGGACCAGGCTAGCCTTGAACTCGCAGAGATCTGCCTGCCTCTGTCTCCCAAGTGCTGGATTAAAGGCAAGTGCCACCACACCTGGCAATAAAATATTTTTTAAATGGGAGAGCTGGGGAAAGGTGTATGTTCAAGCAGCACTGGACTGTGAATCTCATGATCATTTATAGGTCATTTACATATGCCCACCTTCTCTTGAATTTGTATACACTGTACTTTTCTCTCAGGCTGTTTGTTTTGGGTTGCCCAGGTAGGGAAGGGTTTCCAGTGTTTTTTGCCAATTGGTTTCTTTCATGTTGTTTTTCATTCTTTTTTAAAAACTACATTTATTTATTTATTTACCTACTTATATGTGTAGGAAGGGTTTCCAGTGTTTTTTGCCAATTGGTTTTTTCATGTTAATTTTTTCATTCTTTTTTATTTTTATTTTTTTAAATATTTATGTATGTGTATATTGCCTGCATGTAGGTAAGTGCACCCATGTCATGCAATGGCCGCAGACGTCAGAAGAAGGTGTTGGATCCTCCTGGAACTGGAGTTATGGATGATTGTTAGCCGCCATGTGGGTGCTGGGAATCAAACCCGGGTCCTCTGCAAGAACAGTCAGTGCTCTTAACCACTGAGCCATCTCTCCAGCCCCTTTTCATTCTTTTTTAAAAACTACATCTATTTATTAACCTACTTATATGTGTGTGGAGGTGAGAGAAAACTTTCAGGAGTTGATTTTCTTCTTCCACCATGTGGGTTCCAGGGATCAAACTCAGCCAGCTGTTCTCTCTCTCTCTCTCTCTCTCTCTCTCTCTCTCTCTCTCTCTCTCTCCTCCCTCCCTCCCTCCTTCCCTCCCCCCTATCCCTACTCTCCTTCCATACCCAAGTACAGACCCTGACACTTTTTTTTACATTTATTTAGCGTTTGTGTGTATGCCGCAGCGGATGTGTGAAGGTTAGAAGACAACTTTCCAGAATCGATTCTCTCCTTCTACCATGTGGATTCCAAGGCTTGAACTCAGGTCTTGGGTTTGGCAGCAAGTGCCTTTACCTGCTAAGCCACCTTGTTGGCCAGACCCTGCTACTTCTTTTCCTTCCCATCATACACAGTTTCCACCCAAATCCTCTCAGCAGATGGCTCCAGAGTGAATCCTGCATGGACACCCCACAACAGGGAGGAGACTGTCTCTTTGCAGTTTGCACGAAGGCCCCACAGGCTGCCTACAACTGCTGCCCCGTGCTTTCCTAAGCGCCAGCCTTGCTTTTCCAGCTGCCTCCCAGACAGTCCTTCCACACACTGCCTGCAGATCTGCCAAATCTAGCCATCGGAGAGAAATGCTCACAGTCATGGCAGATTGGTCAGATGCTTTTGAAACAGGTTCTCGGCCACTCTGATGTTCCATTTCACCCTCTTTTCCATAGACTCAGTTTTAGTGTCGTGTCTGCTATGCCCAGACTGATAGCAAGTGATAGACAGGAAGTAGAAGGCTAGAGGGGAGTGAGGGAACTGGAGACTGGAAAGAACATTAGCCTGATAGCTGGCTTCTCAGCTGCCAAAGCGCTTCCAGCAGAGAGCGTCCTGTGATCTGCTGTAAACCCTGAAAGCAGGCCTTGTTACTACTGCTGAAGAGACCAACGCTAATTCACAGATTGCTTAAGATCATGTGTGTGTGTGTGTGTGTGTGTGTGTGTGTGTTTAATAGCCTAGGCTATCCTGGAACTATGTAGCCCAGGATGTCCTAATTGCCTTGCCTTCACCTCTCAGTGCTGAGATTACAAGTGTGTGCCACCCTCCCTGGCTCACCCTTTTCATTGTTTAAACCTAAACCAGTTAAGGAGCACACACATACCTTTCCCCAAGCCCATTCTACTCCAAACAAATTTTGCTCAGAGTTCCACCTCACTGATCCAATAAGCATCTTAGAGGCCCTGCCAAAAATCCCTCTGCTAAGGGAAGCTGTGTCCCAGTGTTCCGCCAATCTCACCCCCACCACAAAGCCCTGAATTCTCCAACAGGATCAAGAAGATCCTGTTGATATGATGTCACCTGTAATTTTAGCTCTCAGGGGCTGAGTCTGGAAAATCATGAATTTGGGACCAGCCTGATTACATTTTTAAACTGACTCAAAAAAGATAATAGCAATAATATTTTTAAGCAGATGCAACCAGCCTCGCTCTCTCGGTGTAGACACACACACAGAAACTTACAGCCAGACTGATTAACTAACATAGAGCCCAGAGACTTCAGACCCTCAAAATCCTCTCTGATCCTCTAATCTCCGGCCATCTAGTTTCCACAAAGCACAGCTCCAGCCTTTCATAACACAGTGCTGCCGACCAGAGCAGCCCACCCAGAAGTCACCCAGGAACTTACTCAGGAGTTAAACCTGCAGTGCAGGTTCCCTCCCCTTGGCCAAACACCTCGGAATGCAGGGCCCTGGGGGAGAGAACCACTTCCTCCTCTCTAGACACCATCCCTATCCCTCCACCCCGACCACTCTCAGCCTCCTATCACATCTTTGTTGTCAGACCCAGTTAGGGGCCACAGAAGAATCTGGAATTGCTGGAAAGGGGCAGGCTGGCACTGCACGCAGGAGGTCAGTATTTGCCCAGATGCTGCAAGAGGTCAGGAATGCAGCCATCTACGTTAGCTAGCAGATAAGGTGCAGCTGCAACCATTCTGTCCCAGAGGCCCCACACAGAGCCCCCTGAAGAGCCAGCACAGCCAGGTGGGGCAGGATCAGAGAAGATCTGTGGAAGGGGCTTAGAGAATTCTTGGGTCTGTGTGTCATTGCTGAGAGAATTCAAAGTCCTCAGGGGTCTTACACGACTCAGAGGCCTCCTCAGGATTAAATTGAATGCCCTTCTGGGTGAGGCCCTAAGTCTGCAATAAGTAATTTGTATTTGCTCAGGAATGAGTGGGTGATCATTAACACTGGCCTGTGTTGCCACTCCAGGAGACAGACTGGCCAGGCTTTTCCCCCTTAGAAGTAAAGAAACTGAAGTTCAGTTAGGTGACTTAGAGGAGGTAACCCAACCAGCAATGTACTTAAGTTGGTTGATGTAAAGTTTAAAAACACCAAAAAGCAGCCCACAGAACATTTAATCTGTATACTTCATTACACAGGTTTACACAATAGGACAATTGTGGAACTCAGTGGGAGAGTTTGTGAAGTTGGAACCCTTATTTAACTGGCTAGAACCTCCAACCTCCCAGAAGCCTGCACGCAAAACCAGTGGGCATTCATTTGCTTCCTGATTTTGCATCCCATTTGCCTCCCTGTCTTCAGTAGCACCCACCCTCACTAGTTAGCTCCCCTGGAGACATAGGGACTTTTCTCCTCCAGAAGGAGGCAGGCAATCCAGCCACACCCTGCATCTGTCCTGTGCCTCCCACTTGGTTGGTCTGCTAACCTGCACTCCTTCTCCCATTTTTTTGTGCCCCCATCTGCCCCCAACAGCTTCAGTTCAGCTGGCCACTTGATAAGGATCAATAGGTCCACTCCAGAGCAAAGAGCATGGCCTCATGTGTAACACCAGGTCCTGCCGGGAAAACAGGCTTCTGGTGCCGACAGACTTGAACCTAGGAGTTTCTCCCTGTTCATCTAGCCTGAGGGTAGGGGACAAGGAGTTTGGGAGTTTCCTCAGGGACAAGCTAGAAAGCCAGAAAGCATTACAAAGACTGGAAGAAAGGAAGAAGAGGCCTAGGGAGCAGGAAGAGAAGGCTGGCAACCTGGGCAGAACCTGTTAGAATGTTTCTAGGTATCCTGGTCTGTCCTTTTCATACCCCAGCCACATGGGGCACATTATAATCTGCAGGAAGGATCATGGTTTCTTTTTCATTGCTGTTCTCCAGGCTGCTAGAACAGGGCCTAACACATAGCAGGTGTCCAATAAATACTGGTTAAATCATAAGTGCTCTTGGGCAGGGAGTGTAGCTCAGTTAACAGTGTGCTTGCCTAGCATACACAAGGCTTTGGGCTTGAGTCCCAGCACCCCATGACCTAGATGTGGTGGCTTATGCCTGTAGTCCCACACTTGAGAAGTGGAGACAGGAGGATCAGGAGGTTAAGGTCATCCTGAACTATACAGAGTTCAAGGCTAATCTGAGCACAAAAAAGAAGTAAAATAAATAAAAACATGTTAAAACATGAGATTGTGTCAGGGTCCACTGAGGCCAAGCCTCTGAGGTAGGAGTTGAGGGGTGGAGGACTGAGGGAATGTGTTCCTGTGTTATTTGCCAATACACATTTCTGTGGTTCTGCCCAGAAGTAGACAGGGCTACTGTAGACAGGGCCAGCTCAGTGCCTGGAACCTTGTGCAGTGGGGCATAAGTGTGAAAGGAGATTTGAGGCTCGAGACTGAATTCCTCCTCCCCAGCTCCCAGCTTTTCTTACCCAGGACTCCTTGGGGTCCCAGGATTGCACCAAGATCTCTTCCACTGGTGGGAAACCTGGGCTTCAGGCTGAGAACAGCTAGAGAGAGACCCACATTCCAGTCCACCTCACAAAATTTCCAACCTAATGGTCATCTCTTCTACCTGGGGGTGAGGGGCGGTATTCATTTCCTCCCCTGAAAGCAAAAACTCAAGGGCTCACAACACCTGCTTTCCTTTGTCCCTCCCTGAGGAGCTGAGGTGTGGCCTTTGACAGAGCTGTGCTGAGGACGTGGGGGGGGGAGGCACCAACCAGGTCTCAGGAGCCCTGTGCAGTCCACCTGCCCTCCTAGCTTCAGAGGTGGCCCCGGTGGCGGGGGCGTGGCCTGCTGGGGAGGTCCCCACCTCCTCCCTCTGAGATATAACAGGTCAGGACTGCCACCCTCCAACGCCCGAACTTGAGTCCTGGTCTCTCGCATCGCGCTCCACTCGAGACACCATGAGCTTCACTACTCGCTCCACCACCTTCTCCAGCAACTATCGGTCCCTGGGCTCGGTCCGGTCGCCCAGCCAGCGGGTCCGGCCGGCCAGCAGCGCGGCCAGCGTCTATGCAGGCGCCGGGGGCTCCGGCTCCCGGATCTCGGTGTCCCGCTCCAGCAGCGTCTGGGGCAGCTCGGGATCCGCAGGCCTGGTGGGAATGGGCGGCATCCAGACGGAAAAAGAGACCATGCAAGACCTGAACGACCGCCTGGCCTCCTACCTGGACAGGGTGAAGAGCCTGGAAACCGACAACAGGAGGCTGGAAAGCAAAATCCGGGAACATCTGGAGAAGAAGGGGGCCCAGGGGCCCAGAGACTGGGGACACTACTTCAAGATCATCGAGGACCTGAGGGCTCAGGTAAGGGGTAAAGAGGGAGGGGCCTGGCTCCAGCCATTCTGGCCAGTGAGGTGCCACCCCTACAACTTTAATAGGGTGGGGGAAGTTGACTTCTATCACCCTTTTCATACCCACCCTGCTCTATGGGACTAAATTAGGAATGTCCTGGATTACTATCCACAACCTTGCCTTAGAAACCCCAAGGGTAATGTGGCTACAAACGGGAGAGGGCTTCCCCAGGAGGTTAGTGGGACATCATGAAAGAAAGCGAGAAAAGGACCATAAAGTGGACCCAGACACGCTTCTTTCTGAGTGGGGACAGTTCGAGGGTTAAGCGGATGTGGCTAAAGCTGAGTCATCTATGAGTAAACAGAAGCCAACCGGGAGGAGCCAATCAAGGAGGTGGGGGGTCCAGAGCTGGGGGGGCAGTAAGCAGGTACCCTGGGGTGAAATATGCCAGAAGAGGACTGGAGAGAGAGCCAGTTAGGAGCTGCTCATTTGTGGACCAGCCAACCAGTCAGCCCAGCTGGAGGGACAAAGTGTTGGGAATTGGGAGCTCAGGAGAGAAGAAGCAGCACAGGTAGAAAGGGAAGGCATGTGGGGTAGCCTCTGGCAGTTCCTGGGCCTGGGAAAGGTTCACTGAAACATGGACATTTCTTTACTCCCTCATCATTCGACCTGTCACTTAGCAACCTCCTGCTTTCATCCCTCCAGATCTTTGCAAGTTCTGTGGACAATGCCCGAATCGTCCTGCAGATTGACAACGCCCGTCTTGCTGCCGATGACTTCAGAGTCAAGTAAGTCTGGGCGCTGCAGGTAGAGCACAGAATGGTCTGCTCCTGAGGCTGTTTGGGTGGGCCTTCCTTTTGAAGGCTTATTCGGGTGTGGGTAAAGCTGCAAATGAGCACTGGGGTACTTCCTGTCGTCAAAGAACCATTCATTTGTGCAGCCCAGTTTGAGCACATTGCTCCCGACCAGCCAAGAATGTTGTTGAGGGAACACTGACGTGGTTGCCTAGTTTGAGGTGGGCACAGGTCTAGTCTCAGGTGACATGGGCTGAGAAGGTTGAGGATCAGACAGGGCCCTCTGATCTCCATCCTGTAGGTATGAGACAGAACTGGCCATGCGCCTGTCTGTGGAGAATGACATCCATGGACTCCGAAAGGTTGTTGATGACACCAATATCACAAGGCTGCAGCTGGAGACAGAAATTGAAGCGCTTAAGGAGGAGCTGCTGTTCATGAAGAAGAATCATGAGGAGGCAAGTGGAGCTGCTGACCAGGCTGGGGATCAAGGGGCCAGGACAAGGGTGGGGAAGTAGATGGGCAGCCTTGCATGAAAATGGAGGGCCACCAGCCTAGGCTCTTAGTCTGTTTTGATTAAGAGTAAACCTAGTGAGTCATACATGCTCTATGGCTCATCCAAATTATAATGTGTTAAGGTCAAGATGGTATGGGCTAAGGCCTGGCCTGCAGTCTTGACACTTGGAAAGCTGAGGCAGGAGGATTGTGAGTTCGGTCCTAGTCTGCCCTACAGAGTGAGACCCTGTCTCACAATTAAAAAAAAAAAAGGAAGATTGTGTGGGTGAGAGACAGAGACAAAGGTAGGAGCTGCCAGTTTGGGGTTGTGGGGCGGATGATGGGTGAAATGAAGAAAAAGAAACCAGCCGTCAGTGGCAGGTTCAGGTAGTGAGGGAGTAGCATTCCTCAACATCTGCAGTGGAAGCCCAGAACCAGCCTTGAGGAGTGCAAGTCCAGGGTTCCCTCTGCTCTCTTCTCCCACTGCTCTCTTAGGCCTCAGTAAAGGCCATCACTGATGAAGGGCCTGGTTGGAACTCTGACATTGAACCCCTCACTTTTGCCCCTGCCATCTTTAGGAAGTCAAAGGCCTGGAAGCCCAGATTGCCAGTTCTGGTTTGACCGTGGAAGTGGATGCCCCCAAATCTCAGGACCTCAGCAAGATCATGGCAGACATCCGAGCCCAGTATGAAGAGCTGGCTCAGAAGAACCGTGAAGAACTGGACAAGTACTGGTCCCAGAAGGTACGCAGGGGGAGGGCTGGCTTCCGGGTTGTGGGAGGGAGGCTACCAGGAAAGGCGGAACCTGACTGACCCTCCCCACCCTACAGATCGAGGAGAGCACCACAGTGGTCACCACCCAGTCCACTGAGATCAGAGATGCTGAGACAACACTCACAGAGCTGAAGCGCACTTACCAGGCCCTGGAGATTGACCTTGATTCCATGAGAAATCAAGTGAGAGCCCTCTGATCACCTGCCACCATTCCTCTGGAACCCCAATCTCTGTCGCTTAGTCTCATCCCACCTGCCCACTTCCCCCTCATCAAGAGATCTCTAAGCTCAGAGAATGCCTCATCAAGAGATCTGCTCATGGAGTCCCATCTCTTTTGCATTTTCCACCTCTCCCACCTGGTAACCTCGCACTTCCAGACAGGAGATCCTTCAAACCTTTTCGGAAACAAAGGGCTGAGCAGTCTGGGATTTGGGACTCACCCACCCACCTTTCTATGCCCTGCAGAAGGTCAGTTCGGAGAATAACCTGAGGGATGTGGAGGCCCGCTATGCTGTGCAGATGGAACAGCTCAATGGCGTCCTGCTGCACCTGGAGTCCGAGCTGGCACAGACTCGGGCAGAGGGGCAGCGCCAGGCCCAGGAGTACGAGGCCCTGCTGAACATCAAGGTCAAGCTGGAGGCTGAGATCACCACCTACCGCCGCCTGCTGGAAGATGGAGAAGACTTTAGGTGAGTGGCACTTTCTTACCCACAGGAGTGAGAGTCTTCTTCCCTCCGCCGAACTTTGGGAAGTCCCATGGTCTGTTCACTGGTAGCCACTGAGCACTGGGCTTCAAAGGAGTGAGTTACGGAAGTTTCCTCCTAGGAGAAAGAATGACTAAGTATTGCCCCTAGCTAGCTGTACTTAGATTACAAGTTCAGCCTTGAGTTTCCCTTTTCTGGAAGAAGTGGCTGAGGAGACTTTGGAGATAAAGGTAGGAATTGGGGAAACTTCTTCCATTTTCCCTGTCCCCCTTCTACTTGGTGAGGCTCTTCATAACTAGGGCTTGGTCTTCTGTTACAGTCTCAATGACGCCCTGGACAGCAGCAACTCCATGCAAACCATCCAGAAAACAACCACCCGCAGAATCGTGGATGGCAAGGTGGTATCCGAGACCAACGATACCAGAGTGCTGAGGCACTGAGGCATTCCAGCGGGGTACCCTGGGGTTAAAGCGATAATAAACCTTCAGACATCACTTTGTGTCTTCCTTGACAGTCTTCCTACTCATGTGTTTGTACGCATCGGGTCCCTCTCCGGCCAGGCAGAAGTCTCTTTTGATCCCAGGGGTTACACATGGGTGGGCAGTGGGAGAGGAGGGTCTGAGTCTTTGACACACCTAAAAGAAAGAAGAGGAAGCAGGAGATGTGGCTGTCCTTGGTTGTGGTGGAATCTTCCCCTCAAGAGAGCTGATGAAAAAGCCAGGCATGATGGTATACATATTTAATTTAGATTGAAGTAGGAAGTTCAAGGCCAGTCCAGGCTTCATAGTAAGTCCCAGGGCAGCCTGTGTCATAACTGGAGACTCTGGCTGTAAAAAAAAAGCTAGATATGGTAGTGCACTTCTGTAATCCTGGAATTTAGAAGGTAGAGGCAAGAGAATCAGGAGTTCAGGGTCACCCTCTGATACATAGCAAGTTTGAAGTCTTGGCTACATGAGACCTTGTCTCAAAAATAAAGTGGGACCCCATGGAGCTAGGTATGGTAGAACATACCCATAATCTCAGTACCTGGGAAGCAGAGGAAGGAGCATCATGAGTTCAAAGACTGGGCTATGTATCTACTCTCAAAAAACAAACAAAAAGCCAGCTTATGATCCTAAAACCCCCTGCTTGACAGCTGCTTATAAGCAGAAATCAGAGCCAGAGGAGGAGGTAGAAAATCAGAGTAAACCAGCTCTCACCTGTCCTGCCACTTGATCCACACAAATCCCACATCCACTCAAATTTTCAAGCCTTCACACATACTCATTACTGCGAAACCTGTGATTCCCTAGGCTCTTCTCTGGCACTCAGTGGAGACATGCTCTTCAGAGAGCTAGAGGTTTGGACAGAAGTGGGGAAATGTGATCACTAAATATGAAGCAGGAATCTACATTGTAGTCCCCACATAGGCAAGTGGGCACCTGAGCAGGTAAGAATGGAGATCCTATGGCACCATTTTAGGCCTCCAATTGAAATAGTCTCATCTAACAATGAAAACGACAGTTTTGATTGGGAAGACAACAGCTTTTTAAAAATGTATAAATGGGCTGGAGAGATGGCTCAGCAGTTAAGAGCACTGACTGCTCTTGCAGAGGACCTGGGTTCGATTCCCAGCACCAACATGGCAGCTACAAACTGTCCTTAACTCCAGTTCCAGGGGAATCCGAAGCCCTCTTCTGACCTCCGCAGCATTGCCTGACACAGGTGCACTCACATACATGCAGGCAATACACTCGTACACATAAAATAAAAATAAAATATTTTTTAAAAAATTATAAATTATAGATGGAATTGGGTGTGGTAGTGCATGACTTTAATCCCAGTACTCGGGAGGCAGAAGCAAGTGGGAGTTCTTTGTGAGTTTTAGGCCAACCAGAGTTACACCACCACCCCCAACCCCCCACCCCTGCCAAAAAAAAAAAATAGAGGCTGGAGAGATAGCTCATTGGTTAAAAGCACTGACTGTCCTTGCAGAGGCTCCAGATTCAGTTCCCAGCACCCACATGGCAGCTAACAACTATCTAATTCCAGCTCTAGGAATCCAATGCCCTCTTCCAGCCTCAAGGCACACACGTGGTACACTTGCATTCATGCAGACAAAACACTAGTATACATTTAAAAATTAAAGATGATAAAAAGAAAATGAGAACTAAAATTGAAAATCCTACATCTCTGCTCCCCAAAGGTAACTTGCCGCTGTTAAATACTTCTTAAAACTAGGCATACACAAACATTTCATTTTGTTTTGCATGCAAGATTATACAGTTCTGTACCTTAATTTCTTCAACTCTGCTTTCTTCATTTAACAATATATTTTGGAAGTGGGGTATGGCAGCTCAGGTCTGTAATCCCAGCATTCAGGAGGCTAAGGCAGGAAGACTGACCTGAGTTCAAGGACTACTGCTGTATGGTGTAGCGTTCAAAGTTAAGAAACCCAGATATTCAACTGATGGTATATCACTTGGCTTGGGCTACAGTATTTTCAGCAAAAATGTTGCAGTTAATATCCATGTGCACATTTATACTCTGTGCATATCTCTGAGATAAATTAATAGAAATGGTAAGATGAGCTACCATATTAACATATAAATGAAATACTTTGGGCCATGCCCTGTGCTTGGCTTTAGTATATAGTGAATAAAATGCCTATTACTCCAACCTCATCAAACTCAAAACTTGGAGCCAAAGGCATGGGTGTTTCAACTCATTCTTCCCACAGGTACTGGGCTTCTGATATGTCCCAGCCACTCTGCTTGGTGCTTGGGAAACAACAGACAAAAACCCTACCCTTTCCTGTAACGGGAAATGGACAAAAACCAACACAGACAATATGAAGGCAAATTACACAGTATGTCAGAAGGAGTTAAGTGTTACAGGCTGGGGTGAAGCATGCAAGAGAATCGGTGGGGAGGTGGGGTGGGGCGAATCAAGAAATAGTGAAAGCAAGCCAGGTGTGGTGGCACTGAGGCAGGGAGATCTCTGTGAGTTCAAGGCCAGCCTGGTCTACATGGTGAGTTCCAGGGCAGCTGGGGCTACAGAGAGACCGTCTCAAAAAAAAAAAAAAAAAAGAAAAGAAAAAGAAAAAGTGAAAGCAATGTTCACAACTGTTGCAGAAGGGTGTTTACCTAGCAAGTGCAACGGGTGTCCTTAGCACAGAAAAAGTTAAAGGCGGCTCCATTTGAGGTCTTTGCTTCCTGAGACACAGAGGACAAATACTGGGCAGAATCCACTGGCCAGAGCTCCTAGGACAAGTATGCATTATCAGTGCAGGCCAAGACAAAGGTCAAGGAAGGATGCTCTGAGGACAGAGACAGGGCCCCCCTTCCTGAGCAAGGTCTGAGTTACACAAGAGGTTAACTTGTTTAGTTTCTGTGGGAAGGATTCCAGTCATTTAGACTTTGAGGGAAAACATTCTACCTGAGAGCAAGGTGAGCTGACTCATTCTTTAAACCTCCCTTCCCTGGACAGAGTAATCAGTCCTTTGTTCTAATGACTCCCTTCCATTCTCTCCCCAACCTCCACTTTGTCCCCCCATCTTTGTCGGGGCCTGCGGAAGCCAAATCTGTGGAGAAAGATGGTTAAGCTGCAACTTTCTGAGCTTAGGCAGCTCTGGCATTGAATGTGCTTTTTAAAATCACAACAGTGCCCTCCATGGATCTGACCAGCCTCCCTGAGGGATCGTGCTGCTCTGGCTGGCAACCACTGTTATTTTTCCTCCTAAGGAGTCCAGCTTTCCTGAGACCTTGAAAAGAAGAAAGAAACCGATGTCCCAGCTGTCAGGGGTAGGTAGAGCACACAGACAGAAGAGAAACCACACACGTTTCAGGGTGTCAATCAGCCCGAAGCTAAAACAGAAAGTCCCTGGCAGAGCCTGAGCTGTACTTGCAGCTCCGTCAAGCTGATCCAAGAAACCCAAGACGGGGCACCCGATATGATTATCCTTTCTGGTATACAGAGCCTCACAGTTCCCAGGACGCTTACACATTCGATCCTCATTACAATCCTGTGAAGTATGCAAGGCAGTGGCTGGGACTGGTGTTGGCTCAGAGGTGGACACTGAGGTGACCACAGACATCACGTGACCCTGGCCAAGGTTGCAGATGTAGGAACTTGAGGCAGGAATGAACTCACATCCCTAGGGTCCCTGTCTACAGTATATTCTAACTTGTTTTTTGGTTTGGTTCAAATTTATTTGCTGGGTTCCATTGGGGTTTTTTGTTATTGTTCTTGTTGTTACTCTTTGAGTTTTGTTTTTTGTTTTTTTTAGTGGTTTTTTTGTGGGTTTTTTTCATATTCTATTTGTTTCTTTCTTTTACATGTGTAGATGTATTGCCTGCATGTAGGTAGGTGCACCCATGGTGTGCAATGCCCGTGGAGGTCAGAAGAAGGTGTCAGATCCCCTGGAACTGGAGTTATGGATGGATGTTAGGCATCATGTGGGTGCTGGGAATCAAACCTAGGTTCTCTGCAAGAGCAATCAGTGTTCCTCTTAACTGCTGAGCTATCTCTCCAGCCCCTTGTTTTTTGTTTTGTTTTTTTGTTTTGTTTTGTTTTGTTTTTGAAGAATCTTAACAAGTTTATTGGACTTGCTAACTGACCTTGGGGTTTTGTTTTATTTTTGAGACAGGATTTCCCTATAGCCCTAACTGGCCTGTAACTCACTATGTAAACCAGGCTGGCTTCTATCTCACAGAGAGCCACCTGCCTCTGCCTCTCAAATACTGGGAATAAAGGCTTATACCACCATGCCTAGCATTGCTTTTTGACTTTAAAAAATTTTGGTTTTTTACTTATTCTTTTTTAAAAAAAATATTTATTATTTTTATTTTATTTGTATGAGTGCATTGGTGACATGTATGTGAGTGCACCCGTGTCGTGCAATGCCTTGGAGATCAGAAGAAGGTGTCGGATTCCCCTGGAACTGGAGTTAAGGAAGGTTTATAGCTGCCACGTGGGGGCTGGGAATTGACCCCTGGGCCTCTGCAAGAGCAGCCAGTGCTCTTTACCGCTGAGCCTCTCCCCGGCTCCTGGCTACTTATTCTTATTTTGCATGTATGAGTGCCCCCCACCCCTGCACATATTTATATGCACCATGCACATGCCTGAAGCCCTCGGGAGACCAGAAGAGAGTGTCGAATTCCCTGAAACTGGAGTTACAGATTGTGAGGCACCATATGGGTGCTGGGAAGCAAACTCAGGTCCTCCGCAAGAACAAAAAGTGCTCTTAACAGCTGAGCCACATCTCTCCTTGTTTGAGTTTTTGAGACTATATAGACCTGACTGGCCTTGAATCTGCAGTGATCCTCCCACTTCTGCCTCCCTGCCAGGATTGTGCTGTGGACCCCATAATGCCTGGATGGTGTGTTCTGACTTAATGGTGGCTGGATCAGCATCATATAAAATGCTGAGGCTTAGGGCCTTGGACTGTAAAGATTTTGACACAGTTGTTCAAGGGTGAGGCCCCAGGGTTCAAGGGAAATGTTTGAAAATCTCCCT